ATGTAATGATAAAAATAATAATGTTGGGAAATCTATTAGAAATGAGGAGGATCAGCAAACAGGCAAGAGAATAACGATTATGTGTTGTGCATTGAAGAGTGGAATGATAGAAAGACAAAAATAGGATGTAGTTAAGAGATAGAGATGAAAAACGTAACGAGAGAAAATACAGAATAGTGGAGATTGAAGATGACACGAGAGACGACCCGGAATCAACAAACGTGGCACCAATAACGAGTAAATAAACAAATATAACATAACAACTTGCCTTTATTAACTAAATTTACGATCTGTGACGCTTTTATTTTTTCCTACGTAAAAAATAACTAAATATACGATCATTAAACACACTTAAAACGCCTATTTTTGGCGGGAAATACACGTCATCAATAAACACACTTAAAACGCCTATTTTTGGCGGGAAATACACGTCATCAATAAACACACTTAAAACGCCTATTTTTGGCGGGAAATAACCATCACTAAATAATTTTAAAAAACATACGCGACGGGGAAAATTATCTCCGTGTCATCAGTGAGGGTTTTATTAGCAGTGACAGTCATTATACGAAAAACACTACCACACATATGCAAATTTCCATCGGCTGTCCTTGAGTTTCATTAAAATGGACTTTAGTTCCGAGACGGGTTGTTGACGCTGTAAAATTCTCTTCAGATAAGGATTAAATTTACTTCTTTTTTTTACTTAAGTGGGCTTGAACATGTTTTATAGGCGACTGAACTTAGCACATGACTCAACTGGTATACAAGATGACTCAACTAGTGCATAAGGCGACTTAGTATATGAGTCAACTTAGAACATACGATGACTCAACAAGCACATGTGATGACTCGTTACCACTGACTAACACAGCCAGAGCATGAAAGAAGATCAATTTTACGTACCCTATCCTCACCCACCCACCCACCCTGGCCACTACCCACCTATCCTCACCTCCACCCCACCCACCCTGGCCACTACCCAACTATCCTCACCACCACCCTATCCACCCCTGGCCACCACCCACCTATCCTCACCACCACCACCCACATCCTCACCACCACCCCATCCCACCCTGGCCACCACCCACCTATCCTCACCACCACCACCCACCCTGGCCACCACCCACCTATCCTCACCACCACCCATCCACCCTGGCCACCACCCCTATCCCCACCACCACCTCATCCACCTGGCCACCCACCCACCCATCCTCACCACCACCCTATCCACCCCACACCACCCAACCATCCCTCACCACCACCCCACCCACCCTGGCCACTTCCCCACCCATCCCCACCTCCACCCCACCCACCCTGGCCACACCCACCTATCCTCACCTCCACCCCACCCACCCCTGGCCACTATCCAACCATCCTCACCACCAATCCATCCACCCCTGGCCACCACCCCTATCCTCACCACCACCTCATCCACCCTGGCCACCACCCACCTATCCTCACCACCACCCCATCCACCCTGGCCACCACCCAACTATCCTCACCACCACCTCACCCACCCTGGCCACTACCCACCTATCCTCACCTCCACCCCACCCCCACCTATCCCCTCACCACCACCATCCCAACCACCCAGACCACCCACCCACCTATCCTCACCACCACCCCATCCACCCACCCACCTATCCTCACCACCACCCCATCCACCCACCCACCTATCCTCACCCCCAACCCCCATCCACCCACCCACCCATCCTCACCCCCCCACCCACCAATCCTCACCACCATCCCACCCACCCTGGCCACCACCATCCCACCCACCCAGACCACCCACCCACCCATCCTCACCACCACCCCATCCACCCAGACCACCCACCCACCCATCCTCATCACCACCCCACCCACCCTGGCCACCACCCACCCATCATCACCACCATCCACCACCCACCAATCCTCACCACCACCCCATCCATCCAGACCACCCATCCTCACCACCATCCCACCCACCCCTGGCCACCACCATCCCACCCACCCAGACCACCCACCCACCTATCCTCACCACCACCCCATCCACCCAGACCACCCACCCACCCATCATCACCACCATCCTACCCACCCACCAACCCTCACCACCATCCCACCCACTCCAACCACCCACCCACCCATCCCCACCACCACCTCACCCACCCCACACCACCCACCTATCCCTCACCACCACCCCACCCACCCTGGCCACCACCCATCTATCCTCACCACCACCCAAATCCACCCACCAACATATCCTCACCACCACCCCATCCACAGACCACCCACCCACCCTGGCCACCACCCACTCCATCCCACCACCACCCCATCCACACAGACCACCCACCCACCCCTGGCCACCACCTGACTATTCACCACCATCCCACGCACCCAGACCACCCACCCACCTATCCTCACCACCACCACCCACCCTAGCCACCACCACCCATCCCCACACCACCCACCCACCCTGGCCACCACCCATCTATCCTCACCACCACCCAACCACCCGCCCACCTAACCACCACCACCCCACCCACCCTGGCCACCACCCACCTATCCTCAGCACCACCCCATCCACCCAGACCACCCACCCACCATATCCTCACCACCACCCCATCCACCAACCCACCCACTTACCCACCCACTCCATTCTCCTCCACCCCATCCACCAACCCCACCACCTACCCATCCATCTATCCTCACCTCCACCCCATCCACCAACCCACCCACCATCCTCACCACCACCTCACCCACCTACCCACCCACCTATCCTCACCTCCACCCCATCCCCCACCCACCCATCCTCACCACCACCTCACCCACCCCTGGCCCCACCCACCTACCTCACCACCACCCAAATCCACCCACCCACCTATCTCACCACCACCCCACCACCCCACCCACCTAAACACCAGTAACACCAGGTAACCAGGAACTGTAGCTACTGTCCCCAACGGGGCTGCCAGTACAGTCCCACACAGAACCAAGCAGTCTATTAGGTCTTGGGAAGTTATCGAACAGGATGGATGGATGGATGGAGATGGATGGATGGATGGATGGATGGAGATGGATGAGATTGGATGGATGGAGATGGATGGATGGATGGATGGAGATGGATGGATGGATGGATAAATGGATAAATGGATGGATAAATGGATGGATGGATGGATGGATAAATGGATGGATGGGTGGATGGATGGATGGATGGATGGATGGATGAGTGGATGGAGATGGATGGATGGATGGATGGATAAATGGATGGATGGAGATGGATGGATGGATGGATGGATGGATCGATGGATGGAGATGGATAAATGGATGGATGGAGATGGATGGTGGATGGATGGATGGATAAATGGATGGATGGAGATGGATGGATGGATGGATGGATGGATAAATGGATGGATGGGATGGATGGATGGATGGATGGATGGATGGATGGATGGATGGATGGATGGATAAATGGATGGATGGGGATGGATGGATGGATGGATGGATGGATAAATGGATGGATGGAGATGGATGGATGGATGGATGGATGGATGGATGGAATGGATGGATGGATGGATGGGGATGGATGGATGGCGATGGGTGGATGGAGATGGATGGATGGATGGAGACGGAAGGATGGGATGGATGGAAACCGGATGAATGGATGGACACAGACAGGACGGACGGATGGAGAGAAACGGACGGACGGACAGACGGACTTATAATCATTTTGTCATTAATAAAAAAATACAATCAGTGAGGAAACTTGTCTCTTCCGTCTCCTTCACAGTTCATTACTTCTTATTACTCAAGTTAAACCCACCAAACACATCTCATATAGGCAAACACGCACAAAGACATAAGCCATTATTACCTCAAGTGTTTGGTCTTATTACTCAAGTTAAACCCAAACACATCTCATATGGCTACACGTAAGCCATTATTACCTCAAGTGTTTGGTCTTATTACTCAAGTTAAACCCACCAAACACATCTCATATGGCTACACGCAAGACATAAGCCATTATTACCTCAAGTGTTTGGTCTTATTACTCAAGTTAAACCCACCAAACACATCTCATATGGCTACACATAAGCCATTATTACCTCAAGTGTTTGGTCTTATTACTCAAGTTAAACCCACCAAACACATCTCATATGGCTACACGCACAAAGACATAAACCATTTCATGTTAGTTCAGCTAGAGTTAAATTGGTGCGGTGTTAATTTTTTATATGCCTGTTATCGAGATATAATTAAGAATAAAACCAAGATGATGTTATAATCCCTCAGCGATTGGTGTTGTTCGTCTTGAAAGTATTACAGAAAAAATCTAAATAAATAAATAAGAAGAAGAAAAAGTGGCCAAAACAATAGTAAGTTACAAGTCTTAACAATCACCAACCACCTATCGCTGCGTATATATGGACCCTCATTATCACAACGTCGTAATTTGAGGTTAACCACACTACGCTCTACCCCCACCGCCCGTCTACTGAAGAAGAACTCAACAGTATGTAAACAAGTTAACCTTTCCTTTCCTTCTTGACAATATTATCTTCAATACAACAACAACAACCCTGGCGCCGACACACACACGTCTCTCCTCCCTCTCTCTCTCCTCTCCTCTCTCTCTCTCTCTCTCTCTCTCTCTGTGTGTAAGGTAAAAACGTTCATGTCATCAGCCGTGGGAGATGTTGCAGCCAGTAAGAAAACAGTTCCGCTCTAACAACACTCACGAGGATGCCGTAACCCTCCTTGTCGGTCTCTCACTGACTCCCTCCTCCCTCGGTCCCACCTTCTCCCTACCTGCATCTCCCTCCCTCCCTCCCTCCCTCCCTCCTCTAACCTCCTCCATCCCCTCATACCTCCTTCCTAACCCGTCTCCTCCTCCCTCCTGCCTTGCTACACCACCACCTAGTAAGAGCAGCAGTAACACTCACCACCGATGCTGTTGCTATCATCTTCCGTGGTCGGGAGAGAAGGTCGGGACGGCTAGCGGTGGGTGTGCAAGTTCCGTATTTATTTATTTTTTTTTTATTTTTTTTTTTTTACCTCATAGGAGTCGTGGTGCGTCCTAGCCCAGTCTCGTGCTTCTTATCTTGGTGGGATGGCTCGGGCGGGTCTGGAAGGTAAAAGGCTTCCATATTAATTACGCCGAGAGTGACTTAATCCTATTTGATTATCACAGATAGCATATAATGGCCCCTCGACACACAAAGAGATAGATGACTCCACTACTTATTTTTCTACGTTAATTCCAAGTAAAAATACATAGCAGTTTGGATGATGGAAAATAATTTGTGTTAAGGGTTGGTAACTGAGGTGTTGGTGCTGGACGTCTGGGCAAGTAGGAGCCGCCGCCGCTTACCCCAACCTGGCTATCTTATTACCTGGGGGAGAAGGTGACGGCGAGCCAGCACACCCAGCCAAGCCAACCAAGGTGTACTAACCCACACCATCTTGACTATTGGTACTACTACTACTACTACTACTACTATTTAGCTCCTACTTCCTCTCCTTCCCTCTCCTCCCCCTCTTCCTCCTCCTAGTTCTACCATGGTCGTCTGGGTAGGTTAGCTAGAGTCGTGACCTCACCAATATCACCTCACAGCTTGTATGTCGTGGTGTGACTGTGATGGAGAGAGATTACCAGGAAGGATAAAGGTGAGGGAGGTGGATGGTGGAGGTGGATGTTGGAGATGAGGATAGTAGTTGAGGATATGTGGATGCTGGGGTCGTAGAGTGACCATGAGTGTAAAGTGTGGGTGAGTGACCAGGGTGTAAGTGTGGGCGTAGAGTGACCATGGATGTAAGCTGTGGGCGTAGAGTGACCATGGATGTAAGCTGTGGGCGTAGAGTGACCATGGGTGGAGGTTGTGGGCGGGACCAGCACCCACTACACCTCGCCATGACTCTCCATCTTGGGTGGTGGTAAAGACTCCATCTAGCGTCGGTCTGGTTAACCTTTACCATCACGGGGCCACCACCCTGTAAACAAAAACAACAACAACAACAACAACAACAACAGCAACAACAACAATAACACCACCAACAACAACAACTACAGTACACCAACAACAACAACAACTAACCACAACAACACCACCACCACCAACACAACAACATAACACCACCAACAACACAACACGTCACCAACAACAACAACACAACACAACAACAATAACACACCAACAACAACAACACAGTACACAACAACAACAACAACACCAACAACAACACCACCACCACCACCAACAACAACTACAGTACACCAACAACAACAACAACAACACAACAAACAATAACACCACCAACAACAACAACTACAGTACACCAACAACAACAACAACAACAACTACACCAACAACACCACCACCACCACCACCACCAACAACAACAACTACAGTACACCAACAACAACAACAACAACAACAACAACACCACCACCACCACCACCACCAACAACAACAACTACAGTACACCAACAACAACAACAACAACTACACCAACAACACCAACACCACCACCCACAACAACAACACCCTCAACAACAACAACAACGAAACGCTAAGTAATAAAAGAAAATAACTTAATTATATTTCAGCTCAGTAAATATCTGATGTCAAGTCTTTTACATGACGTCTCAAAAGAAAAACAGTAAAATCTTGTACAACTTTCTACCTCTGTGTGTACATTATGCTCTGCCTCTTTTCCTGTAACCAAAATTAAACATAAAATATCACGTTGGGAAAAAAATAATTGATTCAAATTTTGCATTAGCTGGTACAGTAGGTAACTAATAGCCGTCTCAGTCTTGGTTAATAGTTCCACAAGACGCAGTATGGTTTAAAGTAATCTGGATTTTAAATAACGTTTATTATATTAAACTTTGCTAAACCTCCCGTAAACACAAAACATTACCACAGTCAACAAAAGACTTCACGCGGGAAAGACTAGTCTCATTCACTAATTACTCAGGTGTCGCGGGAAAACAATGGGTGTCTCAATCTCCCTCACAGTTCACTTGACAGAAAACAAAAAGTAACTAAGAATGAATCGGCCAGGTTCCCGTGAAAACAATAAGGGAAGAAAACCTGGAGAAGAAACAAGTGAAGGTATAGGTTATGAAACACTTACGATCCGCTCTTAATCGTTTATAAAAAGGATCGTAACGTTGTATACCTTTCATAACATACTGAAATCCTCTATTGTGATCCTTGCCTTGATGAAAATAAACCTTGATCATCTATAGTCTATACAAATAATACGGCGTGGAACACCTCTTTACATATAGCATTCTCGAATCCCCTTTTGTAGGGTTATGAAGTGAGAATAATGATGCTTGCTATAGTCGTTGGTCAAGGAATAACAAAACAGTACTTTATTTATGGTGACTGGTTGCATCGTGTATTATTCTTCTTGAGTATAAAGGAATTAAACATTTATATAAAGGGTTCAATCCGACTTATCAAAGGATCATCGTATACTGAAAGGGTTAACTTCTCGTACATAAGGGATTAAATTCTCATATAAAAAGAGATTAAATCATCGTACTCAACGGTTCAATTAGTTGCGTAAAGTTCTTGTACTCAAAGGGTCAACCTGTCGTACTCAAGGGTTCAAGTTATAGTATTCGAGATGTTTTAATCCCGGGAAGAACTTGTTTCACTAGCTGGGTTATACAACAGGTGAGACAGGTAGATACCGTGTTGAGGTAAGAGGGAAGGGAGAAGGAGGCAAGAGGGAGAGAGAGGAGGAGGGCAAGAGGAGAGAAGGAGGAGGGCAAGAGGGGAGGAAGGAGGAGGGCAAGAGGGAGAGAAGGAGGAGGCAAGAGGGAGAGAAGGGAGGAGGGCAAGAGGAGAGAAGGGGGAGGGCAAGAGGGAGAGAAGGGAGGAGGGCAAGAGGGAGAGAAGGGAGAGGAGGAGAGGGAGAGAAGGAGGAGGGCAAGAGGAGAGAAGGGAGGAGGGCAAGAGGGAGAGAAGGAGGAGGCAAGAGGGAGAGAAGGAGGAGGGCAGGAAGGGAGAAGAGAGGAGGGCAAGAGGGAGAGAAGGAGGAGGGCAAGAGGGAGAGAAGGGAGAGGGCAAGAGGGAGAGAAGGGAGGAGGGCAGGAAGGGATATAGCGTGTTTAGTTTGACCTCGGTTGTCATGCCTCAAGGAAAACTCATTAACAGTGATTCAAACAATCTCTGCTATCTCTACCCACCCATCAGTACATCAGTAGCAGGTATAGGCCCACTGCACACACACACACACACACACACACACACACACACACACACACACCTTCCAAACCACCCTAACAAGACCGAACTATCCAAAAGGTCACGTAATCCCACAAGTTAGAGTTTCTCCCTTTAACTGGCAGGTATAAGGGACCCAACATGTAGTTATGGTAGAGTCACGGCGAAGTTACGACAACTTTACGACTACCAGTTACGTGTCGTAGGTTAAGGAAGGTAGTTAAGAATTTTTTTTTCTCGTGTCTCTGTTTACAGAGAAATTGAACGTAAAACAAGGATATAGATTCAGAAAGATTCGATGTTTTTTTTTTGAAACTAATAGTAACTTAGCGTAGAGTCTTAGTGTAATTCTAGAACCATTTTAAACGATATTCCTGGAAAAAGATTTTACCTAGATAATTTAATACACGGAACATTAACCATACGAAGAGATTTAGAATTAAACAGGGGATCAATCAACTTCACCTAACCTAACCTAACCTAACCCAACGAGGTGATTGAGAATTAAACAGTGGATCAACTTAACCAAACCGAACCTAACCTAACCCTGGGAAGTGATTGAGAATTAAACAGTGGATCAACTTAACCTAACCTAACCAAACCCTACGAAGTGATTGAGAATTAAACAGTGGATATTCTTAACCTAACCTAACCTAACCTAACCTAACCTAACCTAAACAAACCCAACCCAGCCCAACCTAAACCACACCAACCCAACCTAACCCAACCTAACCTACCTAACCCAACCAAACCAAACCCAGCCCAACCTAAACCACACTAACCTAACCCAACCTAACCTAACCCAACCAAACCAAACCAGCCCAACCTAAACCACACTAACCCAACCCAACCTAACCTAACCCAACTCCAACCAAACCAACCCAGCCCAACCCTAAACTACACTAACCTAACCTAACCCAACCCAACCAAACCCAACCCAGCCCAACCCAAACTACACCAACCTAACCCAACCCAACCAAACCCAACCCAGCCCAACCTAAACTACACCAACCTAAACCTAACCTAACCTAACCTAACCTAACCAAACCAAACCCAACCCAACCTAAACTACACTAACCTAACCTAACCCAACCCAACCTAACCCAACCCAACCCAACCCAAACCACACCAACCCAACCTAACCCAACCCAACCCAACCTAAATCCCAACCTAACCTAACCTAACCAAACCAAACCCAACCCAACCTAAACTACACCAACCTAACCTAACCTAACCCAACCTAACCCTAACCAAACCCAACCCAGCCCAACCTAAACTACACCAACCCAACCTAACCTAACCTAACCTAACCTAACCTAACCTAACCAAACCCAACCCAGCCCAACCTAAACTACACTAACCTAACCTAACCTAACCTAACCCAACCAAAACCCAACCCAGCCCAACCGAAACTACACTAACCTAACCTAACCAAACCCAACCCAACCCAACCTAAACTAACCTAACCTACACTAACCTAACCTAACCAAACCAAACCCAACCCAACCAAAACTAACACTAACCTAACCTAACCTAACCTAAATTAAGCTGGGTATGACGGCCGCAGCCAGGATTAACGGGTGTTTATCACTGCCCACAACCCCTACTTTTTACACACGCTCAATCACCTTCAATAACATGTGGCAAATACCGTGGGAGGTGATTTACATAGGTGTTAATGAGGGCTGGTAAGTCATTAGGGACGTGTGTACAGTGAATGGTCTAACCTTTCTTGTGACTGGGGGGGGAAAAGGGATCACGTGAAGATTAGTCACCCCAGCTTATTTCACGTGAACACCCAAGCTTATTTCACCTGAAGATTAGTCACCCCAGCTTATTTCACTTGATGAGTAGTCACCCCAGCTTATTTCACGTGAAGATT